GGGTTTAGGGTTTAGGGGCGGGGGTTTGGGCTTGAGTTAGCGTTGTTGTAGCAGGATGGTTGTAGATAGATTTTGCTAGCCTGGTTTATAAGTCTCTTTTGGGGTGGTTTACGTGGTTCAGAGCGTTTTAAAGGGATACGGGTACAACGCAAAGTAAGGGACCAAACAAACTGTTGAAGGGTCATGACGAACTAAGCACTAGAGATCGCAGAAGGAAGAGAGACAGAAGGACAACAATTCGGCACAGATCACAGAATTCTTATAGAAGGTTTCAAGTTCTCAAAATCCAGCATGCATGCGCTCCTTCTGCAACACAGGTGATACAGACGTACATTGGGTTTGCAGCTGGGGTGGGGTCTGTGCCCGGCTTTCTGTTCATGTCGTGCATGGCTGGCTTTCAAGAAATTCGTGGAATCAAGAAGAATTGCATCACTCACACAACTTTTATAGAACATATGCAGTTTTCAAAACCCATCACACAGACATTCTATCTTCCATCATCCTGCCAGCATAAACAGAGCCCATATGGACCGTCTCAGAACCCGAGATACAGATGTCCATTGGGTTTGCAAGTGCCGCAATCGCCAAATGAGGGGTTGTGTTTAAGATATATGAAGACCCGGAATCGGCGTGTTTAATATATGTATATATTATACAAAGATGATGAACCGATTCGCCAAATGAGGGGGCATGAGATATATGACGAACCGCAATCGCCAAATGAAGGGGCGTGTTTAAGATGTCTGATAAGCCGGACTCGCCAAATCGGGGTTTTGTGTGTTTAAGACATGCGATGAACCGGAATCGCCAAATGAGGGGGCGGGTTTCAGGTAAAGGATGAACCGGAATCGCAAAACGGCCAGAAGGATTTCCCCCGAGTATTAGCGGGTTCTGTTGGACAGACAAAATGTTTTCCCCATGCACTGGCAAGATTCCGGAAGCATGTCAAGCATGTAATGAGGCGGCGTGTTTAAGATATATGATGGAGCGTGTTCAATGTGTATATATTGATGATGATGATGATGATGATGATGATGATGATGATGATCCGGACTCGCCTTGTATAAGGGTGCCGTGCTATTTTGAGGACCTGCAAAGGGACCCTACTTCAGAGATCTACCCATATTTTCAGATTCGAAGCGAAGCCTCCTGCAAGGAGATGACAGGAGATGCGGAGACGGCCACCTACGTGCCACCTCCACTCCTCCTGGTTGCAGGAAGTGTTTCCATGTGCGAACCCAGAGACTCCAATGGGGCCTGAATAATTCGAATAGGGTTTTGGGGTTGATTATACCATTATTGCAATAAGGAACCCCAAAGTAGTACGTATTGGGAATTGTCTAAAATTTCGGCTCTCTCTCATCCATTTACAAAATGTAGGGAAAACCCACAGTCACCGGGGGTTGGGAGTTTGGGAACCCTAAACCCTAAACACTTAACCCTAATCCGGTAGTCCGGCAACTTCCAGAATTCAAACCGAAAAGCCCTCACCAGCGAAGACCACACGAGCCCGAAACTCCGAAACCCAGTCCGCAAACTCTAGACCAAACTCAAAGCCGCGAGCTCTAAACCCCCAGCCCTAAAAATCTACATCCTAGTCTTTACACGTAGACCTCCAAAACCACAGCCTAAAGCCAAACCCTCAACAGGAGAGTTCGTCTGTCCCACTCGGAACCTCCTGCCCGACCCGGGCGTCTACTTCGAGACAGAGACGGAATCCATGGAGTATGAAGTGTGTGAGGCTCTTTGGGACGATTGAAAAACGCACGGTTACGGGTTCTTTACCGGTTTCAAAGAGGTGGTGAGGCTTGGGGGATGATTCTGGTTGTTCGTCAGGAGCGGAGGAGCTGTAGTATTTTCAATGAATTTCGTGCAATGCACCCGAGAGGGGTTCTTGTCGATAGGTAGCATTATGGGCTCTGAACCGTTGTATCATGAAGCAAGGATGGTTTGTGCCGAGATTCTAAAGCCTAAACCCTAAGCCCCAAACCCAAAGCCCTAACTTCCAGGAAGAGGATGAGCCTGTTGGAATTGAGCTTCTCTACTTTTCTGACTTCAACTCTGCAAGTTCAATGTTCAGGTCTTTGGCAATAAATCTCCTTCGCCTTTTGAAGCTGCAATACCCCATACCCCAATTAGCAAGCCATCCGGACTTGGCCACTTGCAGACTGAGGGAGGTTCGTGATCTCAGCCCGGAAGATTTGGGAAGCAGCAATGTAGAGGTCTGAATCGTAGTAAGAGTATCACCGGTATGGTTCCTTTATCATAAACTATGCACAAGCACTACCCTCTTCTTGTTAAGCCGCTATCATAGTATCCCGAACCGTCTCTGGCGCAGAGGCGAAGTGCAAGAACCATGATGACTGCAACTACTTCTGGCATGGAACGCAGTCGTTGCTCGGCCTGTTCTGGTGATTAGCATACGGAAGTGTCAGACACTTTAGGAACCGTCGGAACAAGCCTTCCTTCTTACAAAGACTGTTGCTAAGATACCGCTTCCCTTAAGAAACACTTGTACCACCGGTGAACATTGGAGAACTTGGAAGGTTCCCCCCATCGTCCGAACTCGTTGAATCGGGGCTCAAATCGTCAGGTTTAAAAAGCTTCAACCCACCCTTAGCCTCCGCGCCAAAACACCCTAATATTATAAGTCGGAATAGCTGAATTCTTCTATAGTCCCGGTGTGATGTCCCCCGCACCCCCAGTCTAATCATAAGGCCCCAAGATGCAGCCCTAAGCCCCAAACACCCAGCCGGAATAGGCAGCGTGCCCCAACCAAACCCAGAACTCTTGGCATCCCTTGATAGTTCTGAAGCTAGGGTTGGGTTTAAGGTTTAAGGTTTAGG